ATATGAATTGTGGTTAAAAATTATTGTCTGTATTAAAACATTGTCGTAAATAATAGATAATTAGAAATACAGATCAAAATAAATTGCGAGAATTCATAGCTATCGATGGGAAACATATCATAACAATAGTAACCGATCGTCGGTTTAGACGACAATCTCTCGGCAAATGCCATCACTTTTAGCCGTTCGGTGAGTGATAGCGAGTGGGGGTTCCGTTGGCGCCGGTGTCGGCACAGGTATGACATTAAGAGGGGATACTGTCTGTGAGCGGCCCTCGGGATCGATGAAAACCATATAAATATCATAAGAAAAAGACTCGCATTAACTAATATTACATTAAAAAATACAAAACTTATGATAAATGTCGAGTTTTTATGGTATACAGAATACACTGAGAGCTCAATACTGTTGACTCCGATAACGTACAAAATAAATATACTCAAACACATGGTTGTATTCAAACGGCTGACCCATAGCTCGTAGTAGTGGTGCTCATCGATCGCACCCAATATTAACCGCTTATTATCGCGCGAAACGCCGTTCCGATAACGTACAAAATAAATATACTCAAACACATGGTTGTATTCAAACGGCTGACCCATAGCTCGTAGTAGTGGTGCTCATCGATCGCACCCAATATTAACCGCTTATTATCGCGCGAAACGCCGACAGCGAGAGTGGCGTTGATTTCGTCAAACTTACGCTTCAAGTAAGTGGAGGTCACGTATTGGGCGTTGTATGTCATCCATCCGAGTGCCGCACTTTCGTAGATTATGGTCAATTCACTTACTAAAAAGTAGCTTAAAATCATTGATTTGCTTATGGTCATTTGGCTTAGCGATTCAATCGCAACTATCGTTGTAAGAATTGTGTAACATAATACAATTACTAGTCCAGATGCCCACGTGGTCAATACTCTGATAGCACTGGCCGTAACACTAATTCTGGTCGTTTGAGATAAGCTTAACGGATATTTTAGCCAATTATATAATATATAGTAGAGTAAGTTTGCGGTATAAAATTTACCAATACGTTCGTAGTATAAAATTGACCCCTCGATACAGATAGCGCATAAAATGAACATGATAGATACAGTACCAAGTAGCAATTTATCACCAAGATACTGCACTAGGTTTCCCGTTAGGTATTCAGGGAAGAAGTCATTACAATAAGTGAATATACTTTGGATTATTAAAAAATAACACATAACGCAGCGAACGTATACCAGACATATGAGTCTAACCCGGGAATAGTGGCCAGTCATGTATTGATTGAGGTTAGCTGATAGAATGACCATGGTGTATTTGAGATGTCTATCAAGTTTAGCGATTTCTTCACTCAGGGATCCGTTGTTTTGCTTATAATTATTGATTATATCCTCGATTCTGATCTTCACATCAATTAGTTTTTGTTTGATTGAAGTCATGATTGAATTCATGGCTGAAGTGATAGATAAGTAATTTTAAAACTCTGTTATGATTTATGTCTATTTATTATTTAATGTGTTTGTAATAAATACTGAAAATTGCATTTAAAAATTAATATTAAATAATAAAATAATAAAAAATTAATGAAGAAATTATTGATTTGTAATTAACTAAAAAATATTTTAAAATTTAATATACCCTAATATCCTAGTGAAAATCCTTGAAAAAAGTGAAATTCCTGCCAAAATTAGTGGTGCGCGTTATCTACTGGGTGCGCGTTATATATGGTTTGAAAATAAATAACACAAAAAGTATTGTTCAAATATTCTAGTTTATTAATACACATAATTATAATAAGTATAAAATCAATCAAATCCATCAAAATCAGAACCTGAATCTATTTCAAACACATCTCTAATATCCAATACAATGTCTTCGGTGTCTTCTGTGTTCTCATCTTCAGACATATCAGATTCAGAATCAATTGTGACTTCGTTTAGCAAATCACTCAAAGTAATCTCTGAATTCTTATCATAAATTCCTGCTTTTCTAAATCCATTTTGAATGCATTCAACAGATATCTCATGCCATGATTCTTTAATCCAATTGCATATTTCAACCATAGTAGCCTTTCTTTGGGAACCGGATTTAGTAAATGAATGCAAACCATTTGACATCCATTCTTCCCATTTGTTTCTAAGTTTTGATTTAAAAGATTTGTTGACACTTAGATCCAATGGCTGTAATTTTTTAGTTAATCCTCCGGGAATGACAGCCAATTTACTGAATGTTTTGGCCAAAGACCGCGCCGTCTGTTAAGTGAGGTCTGGCCGAATCCCATATCAAAAGCGTTTCTTGTTTTGATTTAAAAAATGCTGATTTCCGACCTTTCCAGACACTTTTTAGCCAATCCTTAATTATTTCTTCATTTACCCATCCCTTCTCGTTGACGCGCACATGGATACCACTCGGGAAGACTTCTTTCGGCATAGTTTTGCGTTTAAAAATTATGAGCGGTGGACACTTTCCGCCGTCTGCTGTCACACATAATACAACGGTGAAAAATGACTTTTCATTTCCAGTAGATGATATTTTGATATCTGTGGCCCCAACTTCATCAACAGTGAAATTGCTGACCATATCGAAGCTCACAGGCACTTCATCCATATTGCCAATGTCTTCTGGTTTGACGCCAACTTTATTGTTATCAACATATGTTTTAAATCTGATGACCTTTTCTCTCCAATCTTCAGGTAACCGTTGGCCGACAGAGGTCTTGGCCCTCACTGACAATCGTTTCCTTTTCATGAAGCCATCACACCATTGACAACTGGCCTTAAAGTTAGAGATTTTCATTCTCTTAGCCATTTGTATTGCCTAGAATTAAGGCAAACAGAAAAATGCAACAAAAGTGCAAAAACATAGATATTAAATTGTAATAAGGGTATATTATTAGATCTGTTACAATATGAGTGTACCATTTGTAATGAAAATACATAAATGACTAATAATGCAATATATATTTAAAATATAAGTGTTTTCCTTACCTCGAATCGTATTTGAATTGTTGAGACTTTTCTTTCCACACTTCTCTTAGTTAACACCCATTTTTTAAGCTCGTCCTCCAATTCTGGCCAAAATTCCTTTCGATATCGAAGAGTTCTTTTTGTTGGTTTCATTGCTTTAAGAATGTGTTTGTTTTTTCTCCATTCGCGTATACTTGACTCCGGGGCCACTTCTTGTCGACCGGCCTGTCGATTGCCTATCTTTTCGGCGATTTCAACGATTTCCAATTTTTGGCGCGGAGTATATGATTTCCTTCGTTTAGGCATAATTGCACGATTTATTTAATCACAACAATTAATCACAATATTTTGTTTTGAATTGTATTTTAAAAACACGTGTTTATTCCAACACTAATGAATTACTAACACTAATAAATCAACACTAATTCAACACAATCACAAACACAAATATACAGTATATGACATGCGCGTTATACACGGGGTGCGCGTTATCTATAAATGATTTTTCATTCAAAAATACTGTTAAATTTCTTACTGCGCGTTATACACCGGGTGCGCGCTATCTACAGGATATTAGGGTAATATTCAAAATTTTTTAAAATTAAAACTTATTTCAATATAGTTTATGTTATGATTGTTTCACTAATAAATCAATTTTTATGTTATAAAATTTATAATATAAATTAACCCAATGTATTGCCAAATAATGAAAATGATCATAAATGCAATAAAGATAGTGCACGGTAGGTTATCGATTTATACTTAAAATAAAGTACAATAAAGAATTAGAATTATTCAAAATTTTAATTATCATTATTTTGACTTTAATTTATTTATAATAGAAATTACAATTATTTTTCATTTTGTCATTTAATTAGTGGAAAAAACTATTTCGACAAAAGTTATTATATTAAAAATTGGGAAACAATTGAAAGTATGTTTGAATGAATGGAAAAAACAAAATACAATTCAAAGTAATTGAGAGAAACAATATATTTGACGATTAAAACAACACATAATTAATGCAAAATTCAATAAATTTTCATTAAATGAGTTGTTTTTTCCGATGAAAACGCTATTAATTATATAGAAATAAAAAATAATAATTAAAAAAAACTAATCAAGACTTAAATCTAAACGACATATGATTTTAATCGATATATTAATGAAATAATTAAAAATAAAATAGAAAACTCTGTTATCATTATATAGTGTACTCTCTATTTGCCTCTCGACTAAAATGTACTCATTTATACCCCCAAAAATAAGCATGGTGAAAATTTGCACTCAATTAACACCAATTTATAACTCTTATAATTACAAAAACATTTGACTACAAAAATCTTATTCACAATAAAATTACACCACATTTACAGATACCGTACATTATAGCCGAGGGATAACGAGTACACTATATATGACACCAGAAATCATATCACAAATAAATTAGCAATAAATTTGAATTTTTAAAAAACAAATAATTTTTTCGTGTCTTATTCTGTGTGTGATTTGGATTTTAAAGTTATAATTAAAAGTAATAATAAATAAATTAAATTCAAAACAAACAAAACAAATATTATGTCCGGTGTTTAAAGCAAAAAAACAATACAATTAATAATTAAATGAGAGATAATTAGTAACAAAACTAAACAATAAGTAATTAAAAATGAAACATATCCTGAGATGTAATTTAATTTTCAAATTGATTTTTATAGCAAAACAATTTCATTCAATCATTCATTCATTCAATTAATTCCCAACAATTTAATTAAGCAATTAATTCATTACTCGTTTGTTTTTATATATAGTATTTATATATAATTTTATGCCTTTTTTAATTACATTATATAATTATAAGTCAAATCAACAAAACATTTACAATATTTCATTTTTCATATTTACAAATCATAACCAGAAAATTAAAATTACTCATTAATTACTCATTAAATTGTATATAAAATAAAAAACAATTCAAATAAATTCAGTGCTTTTTGTTTAGTGTTTGTTTGGGAAAAATCAAAATTAAAAAAGCATTCATTTTCTCATTTAATTGCCGTAAAACCGGTCGGAAATCGGGGGTAAGTGTCGGGTGGGGTGTGAATGAGGGACCGGTGGGTAGTCTTGTCGGGTATCTCAGGACTCATTAAAGGCTTAGTGTGTGTGAGAGAGACAGAAGGGGATAGACTTTCCAGTAGTCAATAGGTGGAGAGAGAGAATAGTTGGGTCCGGCCCTCAAGATCTGCAATATCACCGAACGGCTGAAGTCCACAAATAGCAGACGTGTGTCGAGTTTTTTGCACTGAAAACAACACAACACAACAAATCGCATATATATTTAATACCAAAATTTAAATCCGGTTTAAAAACAATGCTTAACACAAATCACTGATAGATATAATTGATTACATATTCAATTGATTGCCCGAAATGTTTATGAAATTATACTAAAAAAACAAACAAAACAAATGATTATATGATTACTATATGACAAAAAACTAATGCAAACAAAAATTTTAATGATTATTTTGTTAATAATGAGTCCCAACACACTGTTAAGCCCCGACATCCCGGGGCCCTCCCATACCAACCCCGAGCCCATTGTTTGAGTCCCGTTCCCGTAATTTAATATATAAATGAATAGATTTATATTTTTAATTTTATTTTGTAAAAAACAATTAAACGTTTTTACTTATTATAACTTATGACAAATACACTGTTGAGAGCTCTAACCCCACACCCCATCTGGAGTATAGATTATTCAGTATTTTTTGACACCCGCCGCCCCCTAAACCACGCCCACATGTTTTTGTCCCCATAGGGTGTGTGTACTGTACTATTCAAAGCAAAAGCAAATATTTAACTACAATAATGAAGTCATTGTACAAACAATACAACTGATATAAAAACTCTATAAATAGTTTATAACTATTAAACAAAGAAAAAATTATTGTGTTTTTTGAAATATAGTTTTATTTCCCACACAATAAAGACAGAAAGAGGGGGAGAGAGTGGATGTCAAACATGTTTTGTGAAAAACATAACTTTTTTTTTGTTTGATTTGAAACAATGGTTTGAGTTTTTTTTGTTGTTTGGAAATATGATATAAATTTCCACATCAATGCCCAACTATTCTCTCTCTCTCTCTCTCTCTCTCTCTCTCTCTTTCTTTCTGCTAGTAATGTAAGAATAATAAATAGTTAACAAAT